CTCACCATAAAAGAAAGGCCATGAAATATCTGGTATTCTTTACGCCGATACAGTTATTCTGCAACCGATATAGAAGCTCAGCATCAATCACATTATCAACAAGTAGAGAGCTAGAGAGAATCGAAAAGAGCTTTTGGGCTGTGTACAAACCATCCACCCACAATGATGATCAAACCGAGCCACACAACAGTTGCAGATGCTGCAATGCTTGGATCTAGCTGGTCTGAATGAGAAACATTAATTGTTATCAAACAAGTCAAAGCGAGAGTCCTTCTCTAAGATTACTACAAGGTTTTTTGAATGTGCTCACTTTGGAATTTTACACGTTGAGCATTCTTTCTCTGAGTAAATGATATCATCATAAGGGTAAACAGAAATGTAGTGCAAAACATTCTTAGCGTTCACAGTCCCTGGATCACAAAAGCTTGTCAATAGGAAAAGCAGGATTCCAATCATAACAGCCGCAAAGCTCGTATACCTACAAAGTACAAAACAAAACCAGAACGTTTTGGGGTGCTACTCATGTGAATTTAGCATTCAAAGAAAATGAGAAAGAGAAGCCTGCCTTACTTGTGAAGTTCGCTAACATAGTATCCAGGTATATACGTAAAGGAAGATTTCACAGTTAGATAGTATGTTGATCCAATAATCGAAAGATATATGATCTGCAAGATACGGAACAAACAACATTTCAGACACAGTGACCATAAACCGAAAAGAATTTACAAGCAAACATTCACAAATAGCTAATGCTTGCTTCCAAGCTTGAATCTGAAACTTGCTTTCCCGATACCCTCGCAGGACTAGTTGAGAAATAAGAACATAAAACATTCACTTGGATTCTTTGGATTACGAATCAGAATCAGAATCAAAATCAAAATCTTCACAAATAATGGATTAGCTACTTCGATTTCAATTTGTCTACTATCACATGTAACCCACAAAAACACTCCAATCAAACAAAAAATTTGCCTACAAACAGATAAACCACTCAAGAAGAAAAAGAACTGACTTGGAGTAAAGGGTTAGGGCGTTGACAGCAGAAATACTCAACCAATAGAATCATGCCAGTACCCTTTGAACCAAACACAAACCCAACAACCCGCCTGCAAGAAAACCAACCAACAGAGCAAGATCACGAAAACCTAAATCGATAGGAAGTTATTCACAAATTCAAACACAGAGAGATTAATTGCGAGGGGAATGAGTACAGGAAGTAATCGTAAGCGCCAAAAGTGAGTTAGTAGTGAATCCATTGAATAGGTGTGCCTTTGAAGATAGGCCATTGGCCACAGAGGAAGGAGACGACCACCGTTAACGTCACCATCCCGTGACACACCAAAACCCATTCTACCTCCATTATTCCAAACCTCCGATGATGGATTTCAAACCCAAAGTTGAGTTTTTTTTTCTTTACTTTTCTTGTTATGTTAAAAAAGAGAAATTGCTCCCAAATTATCCCAAACCCATGTCCTCATATACCTCTATGACTTTTTTTTAAATCATCACTACCTTAGAATTGTCTTAATATCCTTATGTAATAAAATTAAAGATGGAAAAGAAATTAAAATTCTGATGGGTCCTACCTGTGTCTCCTCTTCGTGACTGTCTCCTCTAATCTCGACCTTCTTCTTCGCCCTCTCTGTTCTTCGCGAAACCACCATTAACATCCGACCAAGCTTTGAAAAATTGGATTGAGGTCCGATTTCTTGTTCTATTTCGTATATAAAACTCATAAATTATGTATTAAAGAAAATCTTGTACAATGTGAACRATAATTTTGCAAATTAATTGAATTAAYCATTTTGTAGATTTCAATGTTTTTCTTGAAWGCTCATTATAATTRCTCATTCTCGTTTGTTCTTGTAGTCYTAGTCGATCTGGG